AAGGGGAGCAAAACCAGTTATGAAGCGAGCATTTTGGCCCACTCGGAATGCCTCACAATGGACAGATTAGTGAAGTGCTAAGAGTTCAAATGTGTTTGGGGCCAGAATGAACTCCAAGTCATCATGCTCTCAGCCCCGGACTAGCTGATCCTAATGTCCTGTGGCATGGGCATGGGGCTCCGGCCACGTTTCCGTGCCGTGCGTATTGTAATTGGGGCTGCTTAAGTGGTTAAAAGGTTGCCAAGGGCTAAAGGTGTCAAATGAACAATACGCGAGAAAAAAAAAACAATCGAATGTCGATTATTGTGCGAGAGAGAGAGAGAGAGAGAGAGATTTGGTTATCGATCAAATTATTCGGCGGATTAAAGTTAATTGGTAAAATAATTGACATCAATTAATAATCAATATAGTTCAGAAAATGGTAATCGGAAGTGATTATCGATAACACATTTATATGTATTACATTTGTAACATTATGAATACCCTATGCAGTACCCTCTAAAGGCTTTCGCATTGCAATCATAAACATTTCTGCTTAAAATTGTAAATAAAATACTTCAAAAGACTTGACTCTCTTATATATATGGAATACCCTTAATATTGCAATTCATAAAAGTGCATCAAAGGCAAAATAGTAAATATATTACCTCATATCATCTATCACATTCGTAACTCCGATACAAATGCATAAATTCTACTTAGTTAGACAAATATTATTTCTATTAGCAAACTCTCCAACCGACTAATTTCGATAACGATATATTAAAAGTCTAATCAAGTTTCCTTTCTACTTTTTTGTTTTAGTGCGCCGAGTCCAGCTTCTTATTCAGGGTCTTCTGCAAATTATGTAATTAACTCTTGGCTACCTTAAAACTTTTTTCATTACGAATCTGTTTTTTCGTTTCTTTTCTTCTTTCTTTTTAATTGCGTGAGGAAGCTGTGCCTACAAAATGGAAAATGCTTAAAATTTATGAGCCAAAGATACGAGAACGTTGTGTACATAAATATGTGGAAGGACTCCTTTTTTGCCAGTTTCTTGGGGACTAGACTTGAGAGTGCCAGAAAGAGAGAGGGAGAGAGAGAGAGAAACAGAGGGGGCTGGCGCATGTGAATGCTGTGAAGTGGCATTTAACGAAATTTCAGACAGATGCTGGCTGTATTTGTGTTTGCTTACATTTTTAATTTCAGTTAACTTGGCCTCAGACAAAAATTCAAATGAAATGTGAACAACGCGTGTCCAGCACTCGGCTACTTTAGATAACCCAGAGCCCGACATATATACTATATGGCTGGATGGTTGGCTAGATATGCCAGGCATTCCTTCGGTTACAGTTCCCAGTTCTCGGTTCGCAGTTCCAGTTGGGAAAATTGCACATTAAGCTTAATTAAGAAATTCATTGGCGTGTCCAGAACGTGAATGTGATGTACTGCTGTTAATGGGCAACATTTAAAGCTGCCCCAGAGCCACAAACTTCAAACTGTAAAAAGGACATCAAGCTGACCAAGCAACGAGCGAGCATTAAGAGAGTGAGAGAGAGAGACAGAGAGAGAGAGAGACAGAGAGAGAGAGAGAGAGGGGGACAGGCTTGGCAATAGTTTCCACTCTTCTTCTTCTTCTTCTACATCTTCTTCTTCGTCGTTTTGCAATAGTTCTTGCCCACTTTTGATTGCCAGCGGCGACTGCTACAACAACAATTGCACAAATGTATGTAAATAGAATCGCGGGCCGGAGCCGGAGCCGGAGCTAACGCTGGCCCAGTGGCACGCAGGACATGAACGTCGCACACTTAACAAATTAAAATGCCGCAACTTTCTGCTAAAAAGCAGCAGGTGCATAAGTGGGGGCCTAATGCAGTTAAGTGGGCGTGAAAAGCAGACGCCGCAAATGGCCAGGTAGAGTGCGTATTATCTTGCCAGCTCCTGCTGCTGCTGCTGCTTCTACTGCTGCTGCTGCTGCTGCTCCTGCTGTTCCTCCTCCTGCTGCTGCATGCATTACAACTTATGTGGGCTCTGCGTTAGTCAAACAAAAAGCGCGGATAAAAAGCATAATTCATGCAGCTGCTGCACGCTGCAGCCAGGTGGAGGTCAACAAATGACCTTATCGCCAGCCTCCCGCATCGCTTTAGACAAAAGCCCAGCTGAGCGCGTTTGCGTTGTCTGTAATGCAAGCTGCAAAAGTTTTGTACCTCGGCCACGGGGCGTATGAGCGCTAAATAAGTTGCCAGCCAGCCGTGTATCTGCGGCTCTAGCTGCACTCAAAATTGCGCTCATTAAGCCGTAATTCAGGCCAAACGCAAGGGGAGTGGGCGGACCAACACGCCCACACGCCCACAGTGGAGAGCAACGGTTTTCTATGATTGCAATGGGAGCGCGACACTTGAAAAGTCAGCAACAAATCTGTGCAAATTGCAGCGCATCACAGGCAGTTGATAGAGTAGGAAGAAAGAGGTGGCGGTGGGGGAGGGGGATGGTTTTGTGGACTGAGTGGCGACGTGTGACAATATTGATTTAAATGTCATAAACACCCAAAAGTAGCACGCATATAGAAACACACACACACACAGGCAGAGCAAGTGGCACATCCGGCAGATACTTTGAATGTTTTTAGAGATACAACGAAGCGGAAGCCAAGTCAAGAAGACGAAGAAAAACAAACAGGCCGGCACGTTGTCAACAAGGTGTGCAGGCGTGTGTGTGTGTGTGTGTGCGGGTGCGGGTGTATGTGTGTGCGGCACACTAATGTGTGTAATATGCCACACACGTAGCCAACTATTAACTAAAATGGAGCGAGACACAAATGACAGCGCACATTTGAGGGCTGACCGAAAGCAAAGCCGGCAGATTTCGACTCCGGGATCGTAAATATCAGCCAAAAGAAACAAAAGTGAAAAGGAAGAAGAGCAACAGCCAGTCAAATACAAAAACAATAAGAGCAGTCGCAGCAGCAGCAGCAGCAGCAGCAGTTAGTGAGCTTTGCTTGTCATTTGTAACAGATGCGGGCGCCCGGCCACAATTGACTACACAGACAAACACACACACACATACAGAGAGAGTGTGAGGCATTGCCTTTTGGAGAATGGGGCATTGGCGTTTGGTTCACTGCCTTGGTAATTGGGCGCCACGCACAGCGCTCCGCTCTGATATTGCACAGATATACGCTCGCTCTACATACATATATGCATATATATGTCTATATATACTCTATATAATATGTATGTTTGCCTGCACATAAAAGGCCTGCTGGCAAACGCTTTGTCACTCGTCCGCGTTTCCCCCCGCAAACCACCCCTTCCCCACTCACGCCCCCTTCTTTTTTTTTTTTTTTTT